TGATTTTTCTCCCTCATCTGCAATCAATTTATCACCACTGTGTGTTAGGCGTGATATTGAGTGATTGAAGCTATTGCGTTCCTTCGATCATGTTTCATGTCGGTTATCTAATGACATTTACGTCGTGTATGCTAGTGCTCTAGCAACGAGGAGAGGTAACAATCTCAACATTAAGACAATTTTCGCACGTACTAACATGTTCAAATTCAGTTTTTGTTTCAATGACAGTTGTTTAATGGAAAGAATTGCCTGGTTCTGTTCGGGAAATGAATGTATCATAATTTTAGAGTCATTTGAGTGACAAATCTATTTCTTTCTTATTCTCTACCCAGTTGTGCTTAGGAGGTAACAATATGTTTTCTGTAAAAATATTGTCTTAATATTGTTGTTATTCTTTGCTGCTGCATATATGTAACCGACTCCTGCAATAGCCCTGAATTGAGTGGCGGTATTAGCAAGAAATAACAAATCAACGGAAAAGGGAAACGGGTGAGAGCGGGACATATGTTAGATTGATCAAGAGGCAAAGATGAAGGCAAGGGATTAGGGCATAGTGTAGACTTTTGCCAAGGAGAGCTAGAAAAAGCTGGGTAACTAGAATCGGCCACAGCAGGGAACGCGGAGATGTTATGACCATAAATGGTAATATTTCTGTATATCTACATGCATGACCATGTGCCGCTATAGTCTTGGGTGGAGTCACACATGTCAAAGCTATGTATAGCATAGCAATGTATAGTACGATACAGTAGATGGGGAGATAAGTGAAGTGAGGGGCACAAGGAGGGAAGCGGGGTGAAGATTAAAGGCATAGCACAGCATTGCATGGTATTTTGCATGCTAAACAATGCATAACACAACATGCGCAATTTCGTGTGCAAACACGGAAAGGGAAGTGAGGCAAGTATGATGAGAGTTAGGCAGGAAGAAGGTAAAGCTGATCGTAGATACCATAGTATAGCAACGGGTGACAAGAAGAGAGAGTGAGGAAAAATAATGCAAAGATGAGGAAGAAAAGGGTGATGAACAGGTAAAGCATGCCATAGTCGTGTATAGCATACTAGAGCCGAGGGGTCAGGGTGAGGAGAGAAGATGGGAGGATGATGGTGAGAAGGAGGAGGAAGAGGAGGAGAGGAGGAGGAGGGTAAATGCATATCGTAGCTGTTTATAAGCTGGTATAGTAAAGGGGGTGGTATAAAGGTAGGCTGAGAATGAGAAATTGAGGAAGAGAGAAGGAAGGGAGAAGGAAGAGAAAATGAAGAGATAATGGTACAGATTAGCATAGTCCTATATATATTGTAGCAAAGAGTGGCAAGAGAGGTAAAGCTGAGGAGTAGAGGCTTGAGATTAGGGGGAATGCGAGACATAGCGATGCGTAGTGCCGTAAAGAAAGGAAAAGAGGAAAGTGAGAGCGAGGATGGTGAGGTTAGAGCACAGCATGCTTGTGTATAGTGCAGTCAAAGAAATGGCTGCGTAAGGTAAGTAAGGGTGTGGAGGATAGAAAGAGAGAAAAGAAGGGGGTAATTACAGCATTGTCCTCCTTAGTAGATAAAGCAAGAAATGCGAGTAGTCGTAAGAAGAGGAAATGTGTTAGTGATGAAAAGAGAAAGATGGGTATCTCTGCTTTCAAAATGAAAATTTCCTTTGCCACCATAGATGCCAAGCAGGCTGCACGTTTCGAAAGCCAGAGTAGGCGCCCGTGGACGCGAGGGACCCATCCTGTTGGAGCTCAAGAGCGCAACTGCATACATTTTTTTTGTCCTAATCGTGTTCTAATCGTTCTAATCGTGTTCATTTTCGTCCTAATTATTTTTTCATCCTAATCATAATGTCAGACGCAACCTTCTGAATTCATAATGATCTCGTCCTAATCATTTTTTCATCCTAATCATACTGTCGGACGCAACCTTTTGAACTCGTAATGGATACCTGCTCATTGTGGCATAATGGACAATGAAGAGGCGGACGCTGAAGCTAAGAGAGCTTTAGATAGTGCCCCGGAAGTGTGCATCGCATTTTCTCGACAAGATACTAACATCCTACTTCGACGCGTATTGCGCAACTCCATCTTACAGCACTGGCAGAAACCAGAACACCAGCACAAGCGGCTGCACAAATGGGACCCGGAAATGAAGTTCCGTATGCCTAAAGCAAGGCATCTCATGCATTGTCCACCGCATTCGCCTCGGTGTGGCTTAAACGAGACGTTACACCCACTTGATTGGCTGTAATGACACAGGTCCCAATTGTGGTCACTGTCGGTTGCCAGAAACGCTCGAAAATTTATTTTGCGACTGTCCAGCATATGCAAGTGAACGTTAGCAACTGATATCTTCGATTGGCCGATATATTAGTCGACCATTAACCGATGAGGTTGTGTTAGGTCCTTGACCTGACGCCAGCAGCACACAAGTGGGTTTACGAGCCGTCATCGCTTTCTTAGAAGCCACTGAACTGGATGCACGTCTGTAGAGTCACCCAGCCTAATAAAAACATATCACCTCTCTACCTTACCATCGTCATTCATCACCCTCAATCCCCAGTCACCCTTCCTTAGAGTAGAGTAGCAGGCCAGAGCAAACTATAGCTCAGGCCGACCTCTCTACCTTTCTGTAAATTAATTCTCTCTCTCTTTGAACTCGTTACAGACCTGCGCACACCTTTACATATGTCCGTTGACTATCGATGCAACTTTCATAGACTTTTTAGAGGCTTTTGACCGTGTTCTTGATAACCGCCTCATATTATAAATACGTTACCTCAGTCTCAACAAAAAAAAAACTTGTACATGGATTGAAAAAATCCTAAATACAGATCTCAGTCAGTCAAACTTGACCACTTCATGTCTCATCTATCTCGAGTAACTTCTGGTGTGCCTGAGGCAGTGCATTGGGCCCTTTGCTTTTCTGGAATACATGAATGACATAGTGTCTGACATAACGTCTTCTATCGGTCTTTTTGTGGATGATTGTGTAGTTTATAGGAAAATTACTTGCACAGAGCACGTTGTTAAAGTACAAGTAGACATGACCAGGTTAATGCATTGGTACAACAACTGGCAGATAGAAATTAACCAAGAAAAACCAAACACGTAATATTTCTGCATAATATACACAGAAAATACAAAATACAATTTACAAGATAAACGATTTGGTATTCGAAAAAGACGCGTCATTGAAGTATGTGGGAGTGATACTTCAGATTTAAGCTGGACAGCCCACATAAGACATATACTAATCAAGCTCCCAGGAAGCTCGGACTTCTTAAGAGACGCTTGCAATTCACCAATGAAGACACAAGACTGTGCGCTTTCAGATCGCATCGTTGATTCGTCCATATCTAAAATACGCTTCTGTCACATGGCAACCTCAGCCTATAGGTATTATTAACATGCTCGAAACGGTACACAATAAAGCTGTTCGGTTCATCTCAATACGCTACTCGCGTCACACAAGTGTTCTTTACTAAAGGCAGAACTTTGCCTTGCATTACTTGCCATGCACAGGCGACAGACCCGACTATAGTTCTTTCACTCTCTTTATCACAGCAACTCACCCTTCGCCCAGTCCTACATCTTTTCGGCCCCTCATATCTCAAACCACCTTGATCATGCGCACAAGGTGGCCTCCATTTTCGCCAGGACGAAGAAGTTTAAAAATTCACTATATCCTTATGCATGAACGAGTGGAACTCCCTTCTACCCAACATAGCTAAAATAACAGATCCTCCCATGTTTCACTTGATGCTCCAGGGCTATTTATATAGCGAGTAACATTTTACCTTCTGCCTGGTTGTCCGCGTTTTATTTTCAGTTTGGTTCGCAATATCCATGCAATGTTCTTATATGTAATATTTATAAGTATTTCCGTGTTTTTTCACGTTGGTAACTGTATTTGTTGGCGAATGATGTGGTTCAATTCTCTCGCTGTTTTCTTTTTGTTAATTTTGGAACTTTTTCTGTACACGTTTTTTAAAATATATGTGCCCATGTAAATCCTCCTCATTGTGATGCCCAAGAGGCCCTTACGATAATGAAATACGCAAATAAATAAATAAATAGATAAAATCGTGCCTGTACTTATGCAATGATTGGATGCGCAATGAATCTTTTATACTGTATATCCCCATTCGATGCGTACTAGTTTATGCGAGGCGAAAAGTGTTGCATTGGGTGTATACAGGGGCAACACAAAACATTCGTGGGTTCAGAAGGGGGAGGAAGGGGAGATCCCCCCTCCCAAATACGTGTCCACATGCCCACCCCTCATTTCAGTGCTCGCACTTCACCTTCTATTACGAATTAGGACTAATGAGTGAAGCCAATGGAGCACAAATGGTCAGTATTGATGCTATGAAGGGTCTTTTCTGCTAGCAAAGAAAACAGTTCACTACTATGCCCCCTTTATAATGTTACTTGAGACGACCTCCCTACCTGCCCCTGAAATGAGTGGCTGGATCTACCCCCACACAGAACGATATCACAGCCTAGTCCTCAAAATAAGGGCTCTAAGGTAATCTAATTTGTGCAGGAAACTTCAAGACAAGTATATGATTGGTTCCTGCGATTTTTGTTTGGATAACACGCCACAATTGTGCCATTTATCTTCCCCAGGCATCAGCACTAAGGCTGAACCACAGCTGACTGTCACACTTGATTTCAAACCACGACATGAACATTAGCATAAAAGATTATATAAATTTATTTCAGTCCGTTTTTAAGTAATATTTCTACCTCTAATACTGCAAGGTGACCACCTTTCAATGGTGCCACAGAATGCTGCTAAAATACCACTTGAAACTAAACACAATTCAACCTGGACCAGTAAAATGTTAGTCACATTATGATTGGCACAAAATTTTGACATATGCAAGCAAGATCAAGAAGCTATGGTTTCGCTATGAATCAAACTTTTGTCATTAAGGGCTTGCGAAAATGTTCAAAACAACATGTCTTCTGTTAGTCAAAAAGTTATTGTATTTATTCATTTTATTATTTTCAGCATGTCTTTGCCCTAAGCCACTCCAAGGCGGATACTACCGTGCGCCACCGGACGAATATCATTGGTACTACGATAACAGGACAAACAAATGTGTGAATCATACGTATGATCCAGCCGGCTGTAACAACTTTGACAAGTTCGAAAAATGTAACACATATTGCAACAATGCCACCCAAATAGTAAAAAAACTCTGGCCTCCAAAATACTGGCGGCATTTATTGCCCTAATAAATAGTGAAAGAGCATTTATCAAATGCCAATACTGCAACGTAACGCCTCTGTCTGCATTGCTACGGTGCTGTTTGCTTCCCACAGCATTCATAGACGCCTTTTGGGAGGAACTAGGATCATTTAAAGTAGCGTAAGCAAAGCGTTGCGTTAGGGTTAGGCGCAGCTGCGCACGAGTTGTCCGCTGTCTTCTCACGGGTTACCATTGGGTGATAAAAATGACGGGATGACCTTTACTAATACTAGTGTAAAGCTCCTTATCATTTGAAGGAAACAAGCTACGGCTATGCAGCATGTACCATTGGATAAACCAGCAGTGCATGAGCAAAAATTATTAGCAACGAATCAGTTCTTAGGTGAGAGAGCCTTTCTTGTTCAGGTTCGGTGTAGACAGACTAGGGTGAGAACAGAGGATGTCGAGGGGTGAACCTTCCAAAAACGCTCTAAGATGGGATGACGACGAGGCGCAGTGAAGTGTAATGTAGCGTATCAGTGTCAGTATTGACGAACTTGCCCTTTGAAGATGGCGAACATTTCACATTTTCCGCCCAACGTGAGCACCAAGAAAGGCTGATGGGAGAACGGGCATGTATCGCCGAGCCAATCCTGATGTTCGCGCAAGAAAACCGAAGGTAAGGCCAATGAACCAAACACTTGAAAAATACAGAGGTACGAAATAGCCTAATGAAAAACGGGCATAAGCTTTGCTGTGTCGACAGTATTAAGAAAGTGGAGCTAGGACGACTTTTTGCGTGGTAAACAAGGAAATGTGCCACATGTGCTCTAAAAAGAATAAAGTAGAACTCACTTCGACGTGAAACTTGCGCCAAAACGTACTTTTCGAGAGAGCTTCGGCTGTGGAGAAATTATTTTGCCTTGGTGAATTAAAAACAATATATGTTCCGGGATGCCAAATTGAATACAGTGCGATACTTTGGTTGAAACAATAAAAACGTTTGCACAGCTTGCCCGATTTCACGCAAGGTTGTGTAATAGAAGAGCTGGCAGGCGCGTTAGCAGATCTGGTTATACTAAGAGAGGCGAACCTCCTCTCAGTTTAACTTTGTCATGCGCCACACGCGATTGAGAAAAGAAGAGACGAGAAAGAAAAGAATGCGGTATCTTCTGAACAGTATAATAGATGGTGCTGTCTCATGGAAGTACATACAAACTGCCGTTGAGCCAGTATATTTTGGATAGCGCTGTACCTCTACTTTCCCATGGGCTAATGCGCGTGCTGTGCCTAGGTACGCGGAGGGCGGTTGCGCCTCTCTCAGTCTCATGGATAGTCGCCGTACGTGGTGGATCACTAGTGCGGCATGAACGAAGAATAGCGGCTGGCAGGTTGAAGACGCTTGCGCTTGGCTTCCTTGCCTCGCGTCTCGTCGGTGTTACCCGGCCATCATCTGCATTCTCGAACGCCATTGGTTGCATGGACGCATGCACAGACGGATGGACACACGGATGGATGGACGAAGGACACTTCGCCCCACTCGTCATCATTCACTCTCTGGATATGCTGTGATTTTTCAACGTCTCACCTCTCTTTTTCCCACTTTCTGCTATACCGTACTAGCGCACGCACTTCAGTTTGTGAGTTGTGACTGGGTACCGGGGCGATTATTTATTATTAAGCGAGAAAACGGCTATATTTTTGAAGACTGTAATCAGGCTCCTGGCATGGTTCACAGATTCGAACAACTGGTAGCTACATCGTTCCTCCACTTTGAACCTGTACGAGTAGAGTTCAGATTTACCGATCAACGTTCATAGGAAATCGCCTTGTGCTACATGAACGTTCCCGCGACGTTATTCTCGGTGTCGATTTCCTGCAGAAGTATGAAGCTGCACAAATATTGTAAATCGTAACAGAATAAATTGCATGGTACTTTGAAGAGAAAACAGAACAATTAAAGAGCTTCAAGCTGTTGAAGCAGACTTCCGCGCTGCTTTGAGTCATTTAAGAAGAGCTTAACAAAATGCATCGATGGCTGTGAATCAACCACTAGCCACGTGCGAGTATGCGACGCTGGCAGGGGCAGTGCTTAAACACCATTCGAAATATCTGCGTCTGTGGCGACTAAAAGACAGTTGTAAAGCTTCTGCTACGTATTGATGGCTTTTCTTCACCACGTGTCGAATAAACTTTCGCAGCATTTAGTAGAGCCCAAGAATTTTTGAAAATTAACCTAAACAAGGCCTATAACAAGTAGGGATAGCAGAACCAATTCGTCATCTTCTGGCAAGCAATATCGCGAAGAGACTATTTGCTGTAAACCCGCTACCATTCTACGTGTCCTCAGAACGAGGCAATTTTAAACGTATAATCAACATCATGTTTAAGCATACCAGAGGTGTTGCATGCTGTTTGTATGTCTCGGTCCTAGGAAGAATTACAGCCGAACGCCTGCAAATCTAGGAAGCAGTTCCAACCCATCTGAGCAGCAGGGAGTTCGACTCAAGGCTGAGAAGTGCATTGGTTTTTTTTTCAAAAAGAACTGAAGAATACCCCTGTCAGCCGGGTACTTGAATAGTTTGGAGTCAAAACACTTTTTGGAGAAAACAATTTCGCCTGCATACAGATGGCAATGGACGTTATGTTTTTCAGAAGCAGTTTCTTCTAGAAACAACGTTCAGTGATCTCTTTCGCATACATAAAAGTATAGCCTCGAAACGATTGGGTGCCACAAATTATGAATAGGTGAAAACACGAGCATGTGTTATATATTGTTATTGTTAAATTGAGTTTAACGACGTTTATTTACAGATGAGGCCAGGCAACGATAGGCAATGATAGCGGCCTTAGGACGAATCAACGTGTCACATCTTTCTCATTCTTAGTCCTTGCTGTAGCCCGGCTGATACCGTATCATTACCCGGTTCACAGACGAAGCCCGCTGGGAAAGCCGAAGAACTCATAAAGTGTGGAATGGAACTGCTTGAGACGAGCTACATGTGCCAACTGGGTTCGGCTTGTGCGACTACCAGCTGACTTTGGTTGCGCCACCACGTAGATCTACTTTTTCAGACGATTTACGAAAACGAATGGGCTTACATACTGCGATAAAAAGTTCTCGCATAAGCTTTTTTTTTTTAGTTGAGGGGTCCAAAATTACAGAAGGTTCCTTTTTTCGAATGAAATGGTGTTGTAGCATTGACGCTACCATTGCTCAAAGTGATCTTGCGATGCCAGTGTGCGGAGATAAGGAATTTGGCGGACTTCTTCAGCACGGCACAGTGTTTGAGCAACTGAATTGTTCATATGAAGCGCAGATATACGTATTGTATTGAGACAGCTGCGTGAATGTCGAGCGTACAGCAGGTAGAACGGAGCTTTTTTCTGTTTAGCTGCATTATGAGCATAAGTGATAAATGGCAAAATCTTATTCAAATTTTTATTACTCGATGGCACATACATAGCCAGCGTATACAAGTAGGCATCTGGTTTGTACGTTAGACAAGGCCATTTGTTTGGGGATGTCAAACAAAAGTGACCACTGTACATGGTACTTCGAATCGTGGTGAACAAAGGATTCAAAATCATGCCATTACGCTGTTCCTGTTGAATTATGGTGAAGTCAGGAAATGCGACCGAAACAGTAGCAAAGCAGATGTCAAAAGTATCCGTATTATCTTCCGTTGTAGACAACGGAAGTTCAGAAAGAAAAACGGCATCTGAATGATGTCTTCCACCTTTGTATGCAATATTGAAATCAAATTCCTAGAGGCCTAGAGCCCAGCGCACAAGGCGGCCAGAAGTGTCTCGTAGAGTAACGGGCCAGCCGAGGGAATGATGGTCGGTTACAATCATGAACACAGGTAACGCCCACACAGGTAACGCAACTTCTTAATACAACGCAACTTCCGAAATCAAATACAGACACCAAGCATTCTAGTTCCGTCAGAGTGTAATTTTTTTCAGTCTTGCTGACAAAGCGACTCGTATAGGCAACGACATGCTCTCTCTAATGATGACGTGGAACAAGCACGCCTCTGATTTCAATACCGCTTGCCCTGCTGTGCACTTCTGTTAGAGCAGATGGATCGAAGTGTCGGAGAAAAGGTTCTGATGCCAGAAAACATCCCAGTGGACAGAACGCCGCGTCACATTCACATGTACACTCGGAGGGGTTGTCTTTTTGCAAAAGGCTGGTTCACGAATAAACGATGTCCTGAAGCTGTGGCATGAAGCATCGAAAATAGGAGCATAACCCAAGAAACCTACGAAGTTCTTTTACAGACGTTATTGGATTAAAAACACTGACCGCTTCAATTTTCTGGGGTTCGTGTCTGACCCTATCTTCGCCGACGAAATGGCCAAAGGCCAACGCCTGCCGTCCCCCAAATCGGTACTTCCTAAAGTTCAAGACTAAGCCAGCCTTTTCTACACAGTACAGAACAAGGTTCAAATGGACGTTATGAACAAAGCTTTCTTTATTCCATTCATCGAAGGTGCACCAAAAAATCACAACGTCATACAAACAGCACAAACAGATTACCCATTTCCATCCGCAAATAATCTAGTCCATAAATATTTCAAAAGTTGCGGGAGCACTGCATCGCCTAAACGGCATAGCATTAATTGATAGAGTTTATCGAGTGTCACAAATGTGGTATTTTCGTTGTCAGCAGGGTGCATGGTGATTTGATGTGCCAATATTCTGATTGTAGATTGAGTGAAGTTAAACAGGAAGCTGAATGTAGACAATCAATTACATCATCTATCCAATGCAATATATATACAACAATCTATTTAGTGAGGGAATTCAATCGTATATATTCAAGGCAACACTTCCAACAGCCGTGTTTTTCCCGAATCAAAATGACAGGTACTGCCCGTGGCCTGCATTACCCTTCAATAACTCCCTTCAGCATGTCCTGAACTTGTACAGCTAAAACTTTCCGCTCGAATAAGTACAGTCTGCAAGATTTTTGCCGAACTGGATTA